ATAAAGTGCAGTTTTCAGTTTAGAGGTTTAACTTGGTTAGAACTATTATAAGGATACTGATTTTTTTGTTTTGCTTGATAATATTACTGATAGCTTCATTTTCAAATTATTACAAATCAAATTGGTTTTCTATATATTGACTCATTGATAAATTCACTTATTTTTTTAAAGATTTTATTTATTTATTTATTTTAGAGAGAGAGAGAGAGAGAGAGCACATGAGCAGGGGGAGGGGCAGAGGGAGAGGGAGAGAGAATCTCCAGCAGACTCTGAACTGAGCACTGAACTTGAGGTGGGGCCAATCCCCCAACCCGGAGATCACGACCTGAGCTGAAATCAAGAGTTGGATGCTTAACCGACTGAGCCACCCAGGCCCCAGCAAATTCACTTATTAACTTTAATAATTTGTACATTCTTTCAGATTTCTTAATGTGCATAATTATATTATCTATTCGTACAGAGTTCTACGTTTTTTTTCTTAGCGTTATTGAGATATAATTGACATACAACATTGTATAAATTTAAGGTGTACATGTCGATTTGGTACACTTAAATAGTGTGAAATGTTTACCACCAAAGTGTTAGCTAACACTTCCATCACTTCACACAATTACCATTTATTCTTTGTGAGGAGAACATTTAAGATCTACTCTCCTAGCAACTTTTAAGTATTAATACAGTATTGTCACTTCTTATGCTCCAATTGTTATAAGTATTGTTACTTTTTCTTGTCTTATTGCACTTGTTAAAACTTACGGTACTATATTAAATATTAGTGGTAATTATTGATAATCTTATTTTACCTTTAACTTCATGGGGGGAAGTAATCAGTATTTCATTATTAAGCATGATGTTAGCTGAAGGATGTTCCTGTCTATTCCTAGTATGCTGAGAGGCTTGCTTGCTTGCTTGCTTGCTTGCTTTCCTTTCCTTTTCTTTTCTTTTCTTTTCTTTTCTTTTCTTTTCTTTCTTTCTTTCTTCTTTCTTTCTTCTTTCTTTCTTTCTTTCTTTCTTTCTTTCTTTTTTTCTTTCTTTCTTTCTTTCTTTCTTTCTTTCTCTCTCTTTCTTTCTTTCTCCCTCTCTTTCTTTCTTTTTTTTTCCTTATTATGTATTAGTGTTGGATTTTATCAAACTATTTCTCTGTACCAGTTGAGATATTGTTATGATTTTCCTCCTGAATGTTAACATACTAAAATACATTGATTGATTTTCAAACCCTTGCAATGCTAGAACAAACCCCATTTGGTAATGACATATTAACTTTTAATATATATCACTGATTTAGTTAGATAATATATTTCAGGGTTACTTCATCTATGCTTCTTACAAATCTTAGCCTGTAATTTTCCTTTCTTTTAACAAACCTATCACATTTTGGTGTCTGAGTATGCTGACTTCACGAAACAAGTTAGGAACATTCCCACCTCCTCTACTTATGGAAGAGTTCATGCAAAATTGATATCATTTCTACCTTAAATATTTGAAAGGATTCACAAGCCATCTGGGTTTGAATATTTTTTTGTAGAAAAGCTTTTAGTTACACATGAATTTTCTTTAATAGCAGTAAAATATTCAAATTTATTTAAGTTTATCAATTTTATTAAACTTTTAAAGTACAAATTCAACATTATTGATTTTCTTTATTGTATGCCTGATTTCTATTTTATTCATTTCTGCTTTTCTTTATTATCTTCTTCCTTACACTTTCTAAGGTTTAATTTGCTGCTCTTTCTATAGCTTCTTGAGTTGGAAGCTTATTTTATTGATTTCAAACATTTTTTCTTTTCTTACATAAACATTTAAAACTATAAATTTCCCTCTAATCATTGTCTTAAGTGCATCCCACAAGTTTTGATTTGTCAATTTTCATTTTTATTCAGTTCAAAATGTTTCTTAATGCCCATTGTAATTTCTCATTTGATTCACTTGTATTGCTTAGAAAAATGCTATTTAATTACCAAACATTTGGGGATTTTTAAGTTATTCTGCTGTTAATTTCTAGTTTAATTATAATGTCATAATAGTTTATGTTCCAGAATGTGGTAAATTTAGGTAAATAGTTTATGTGGACTTGAATTCGAATTATGCAGTTTGGGGCTATAATTTTCTTTGTCAATTAGGTCAATTTAGTTAATGGGTTTGTTCAAACGTCCTGTATTCTCACTGAAAAAAAATTTTTTTTTCTATTAGTCTTATCAGTTAGTGAGAAAGGAGTGTTAAAATCTCCTATGATGACAGTGACTTTAAGTTCTATTTTGCTTTACAAATTTTGAAACTATGTGTGTAAGTGCCCTTAAAATCTAAAATTGTTATTTCTTCCTGTTGATTTGATTTTTTTAGATTATGAAGTATGCTTATTTTTTTCCAGAATATTTATTTTTTAAAGTCGATTTTGGGAGCCTCTGGGTGGCACAATTGGTTAAACATCTGCCTTCAGCTCAGGTCATGATCCCAGGGTCCTACAACCGAGTGTAGGGCTCCGTGCTCATTGGGGAGCCTGCTTCTCCCTCTCCCTCTGTCTGCTGCTCCCCCCCGCTTGTGTTCTTTCTTTCTCTGTCAAATAAATAAATAAAATCTTAAAAAAAATAAAGTCTATTTTATCTGATATTAACACAGCTATACTAATTCTTTTTTTTTTTACTATACTAATTCTTCTCTGTTAGTCTTTGCATTGTTTATTTCCCTATCTTTCTCCTTTTAATCTATTTGCTTCTTTGTATTTAAAGGTATCTCTTGTGTTTACAAGAGGTTTACAAGTGGGTTTTTTACTACCTAGTCTGACAATCTTTGTTTTCAATCACGGTAGTAATGTCATTTATATATAATGTAATTACTGATATCGTTGGGTTAAAGTTACTATTTTTTCCCATCTATTCTATCTATTCTTTGTCTTTTTCTTCAGTTAACATTATATCATAGAATGGTCCATAGTTCTGCATTGACTTCATACATTTTCTTTTTAATGGTGCCACCTTGGCCATTGTTTTGATATTTCACATCTTGCTGAACGGTTAGCTATCATTTGGTTCTTCCAATAACTTTGCTATTACAGATAATACTGCACCGAACATCGTTACATGCATTACTTTCTACTTTGTGTATTATTTCCTTAGGGTGTATTTCCAAGTGTGGCATTACTGATTCAAGGGATAGAAACATCTTTATAAATCTTGGTATAATTTGTCACCTTGCTTTCTCTAAAGAATTATTCCAATTTATAAGGTTATTAGCTGTATGTAGTTGTAGTGATTTTATTGCTGTCTTGCTGGCATTGTTAGTTCCTTTTTTCAAATAAAAAATGTATAAAAAAAACTGAAGGGGTATCAGAATTATGATTACCAATGCCATCGTTGTATGTAAGTTAACAAAAAAAGAGGGAAAGGTATTTGAGATGTGCTTTTTCAGCTACAAGCTGGCCTAAAATTCCAAACTGTTCTGCTTCAATTTTGAACAACTTGGCAATAAGCTTCCATGAATAACTTAGTAAAATAATGCATATTTATGACAGAACATGTGAACTGGCATATACAGTTTATTGGAGTCTAATAAAACTATCATTCACAAATAAAACTAAAACAGGTTTATAGATTCAGAAGGTAGGTAGGAAGACAGAAAGTAGACCCAACTGAAAATATGCTTAGAAGTAGAGTGAACACATTTTTAAGTTACATTTAAACCTCGTCATGAATAATCTCAAAATAGAGTGGCTGCATCAGTAAACTTAATGAACATTTTTTCCCATGTTGTTAATACTGAGGAACACTGGAAAGGAACTCTTAAAATTGTAATTACTTTGCAGAGTACTTAAGGAGACATTTTCTCATTTGAGCACAAGTACCCTGTAAGGCATGTATTTCTAATTGTTTTGTAAAGGAATAAATTGGGATTCCCTAGAGGTGATATGATTTACCTAAGGTCACATAGGTGATAACTAGTAGAGCAGTGACTCAAACTTGCATCTTTGCTACCTGTGACCTCTCCATTATGTTTAAGGATTACTTTCAACAACTGTTATTAAAATCTTAATCTACGACAGATTTCTTAACTAGGAAAAAATTAATGAAAATGACCATATCGAAGATGAAAACTTTTCCAAAATATTAAGCCAAGAGATTCATTATAACAGGATCTAAACTGGTATAAAATTCAGGAGATTCTTTTATTAAAAATGCTATAGAAACTCAGCAAAAACCTATTTTCTTGGCATTACATTTCTGTGATCTGGACACAGGAGTTCAGAATCTTAGGGAAAAAAACACATAAAAATAACAGCAGAAACTAAAATAATAGTATAGTAATAATGTCATTCATAATCAGCATCCCTCTGGGTCTTCCAAGTACACTAAAAGTCTAGTTTTTGAAATTTGAAAACAAACGCTGTTAAACTTCATTGTGGAAGATGGAAACTAGAAATTGGCTTGAAATAAAGGAATCTATTGTTTTTGGCTATGTGTTTGGCTATGTGTTTCCCCTAAAACCACGTCTCAAAGTCTTCGCTCTATTTGGAATAATATCAATCACCTTACTACTAAAAGTAGAAATATTTCAGCATGTTACTGTCAAGGTAAATTCCTATGAGTTGTCTTTTAAAAGTCTTTCACGTCCACAGACAATCTTTTGATTTATATCATCCTACCCTTTGTATCATTGTCCTCCAGTAAATTTACATTAATAAATTTTTAAAAAACCCTATACCTGAAACAAGTAAATCTGGTCCAAAACATGGGGTGACTCTTGACGGTATTTAGAACCAAATAAGTCTGCCCGTTCCTTGCTCCTCCTGTCTCATGTTTTAGTTCCATATGCCAGTATAGCAAAATGAGTCCTTCTTTTTTTATGGTATCAGCTGACAGCTGTAAGCAATCAGTCTGATTCAACTAGCTGAAACCAGATTTCCCTCCCAACTAATATCGCTGCATCTAACGCTTGTGTTTCTTGGAACAAAGTGATGTGTTTATGTGAAAAAAGAAAAATAGAGTCATGTTTTATTTACATGGCAGGAGGTGTTTGGTTACCGGACCCAGAATCTACGCAGAGCCCTCTGCCTTATAACATCCATGCTGACCTGCGGGTTTCTTCTGTTGGTGTTCTATTGGAAGCCCCAGTGGAGGGTGTGGGCCAACTGCATTCCATGCCCCTTGCAAGAAGCAGACACTGTTTTGCTAAAAACAACGGTGAGTGTCCTTCAGCATTGCATTGGTGGCACAACAATTGACTGGCTGGCATTCCAGAGTAGATCTTTCTTTACTCAAGTTTTCTTGTCCCCAAATAGGAGATGGCAAAACTATCCCTGAACCTACTTGCCATCTCTTATTTTGACTCAGGAAGGAAGGAAGGACATGTCCTCCATGTCACCCTAGGGAAGTTTCTACCATGTCAGGCTAATTCTCAATGCCTTTAGCCTTTACACAAGCAGGGGCTGTCAGTGTTATAACTCTTAAAGACATAACACAGGAAGGATAGTTCAGTTTTTTAAGAATATATATTTTGAGGGGAAAGTAGACATTTTAAACATCTAAATGTCATTTCAAAGATAACTGGAAAATATTTTCTGGATATAAAACTTTCCTGTAAAGTGTGTCTTTCTTTTTTATTATCTAGCACAGTGGTTCTCAAATTTTAATGCAAATCAGTTACATGGAGGGTCCTTAAAACACAGACTGCTGACCTTATCCCAGAATTTCTGATTCAGTAGGCTTGTGGTGGGGTTGAGAATTTGCATTTCTAGCAAGTTCCAAGATAATGCTGATGCTCTTCTCTATAGCCAAAACTTTGGGAACCACTGGTCTAGGTAGGTATTTAGTTGATTGGCTTATTAAATAAACAACATTTGAGAATTGCATGGGCTGGATTGTCTTCTCTAGGATGAATTTCAAAGATATATGAGGAAGAAGGTTATATGCCTCTACTTATCCACACTGAAGTTTCCTATAAGCAAGAACCCAGAAGAACCCCTGGTGGCTGACCGCCACTCTGTCATTAACCAAGCCGTATTGAAGCCAGAATTAAAAGTAAGTAATTTTGAGTGTAATGTTATGGCATGTTTTTGAAAAAAGAGTAATGCAAATGTTTATTGGATGGAAGTTCTGAATGTCACAGTGCTAGGCTGGGAATTACAACAAGGTATCAAGGAAAGTGAGTGTGGTGTGGGGACTTGTGACAAGTTGCCCTCACCTCCCCCCATGGGCTTTACTTTGTGAATGACACTTGTTCTATCACATTTGTAATTGCAGCTGCGATGTATACAAGTGCAAAAAATCAGGTACATTTGGGACTATTTGGAGAAGAGGTTTCAGAAAGTTGGGTAAGTTTGGCTTTTTCTCAGCATTCATCAGGGTAAAAGGGAAGAACAGTGATTTGTTGAATGCCATGAATTAAAGCATGCTTCTTGTCCTGACCACTTCCTAGGCTGCTGGAAGATAGCAACTCCTGCCATGACATCCACCACACGTTTGGACTGGGCCTGACCAGTGAAGAACAAGAGGTCAGGTAGGGTTTGTGACACTCCCTGAGAATAAACTCTGCCAAACTGAGATATCAAATGACTTATGATCAGTGAACTGTTGGCATAATGCTTCATCAGCTTCATATAATCCCAGTTTATTTACCAGCAACAAAGACATATTTTAAGTTGTTCTTATTTTAGGCAAACTTATTAAAAAGAAAAGCCAATCAAATGATATTTGAATTTTTTCCCTCAGGACTGTGGAATAGTCTCCTCTGTGTTGTCTTTTTTATTCTTTCCTCAAAAAATTTTGAGTCATTTCATAGACATCTGCTTCATCATCCTCCAAATCGTCTGAGAGACAGAAAGACAATATTATGATTGCATTTTCTTATAAAGAAACAGCCTAGAGATGAGGATTTTGTTTGCTCAGGTAGTTGTGTCATTCACCATTGTGTTCATAGCACCTGGAACAGTGCCTGATTCATGGTAGAAGTTCGATATATATTTATGGAATGAATGAATATAAGAATGTATTTGTTGACCTATTGAGTGAATACCTCTACTACGCCAGGCACTCTGCAAGGAACTAGGGATCTAAGGATAAATAAGGCTTAGTCATTGCCCCAGAGACATTCACTGACTATTGGATAAGAGAGACAAAGAACAGTGGTACAATTGTGAGAATGAGATCTATAAATGCATATAGATTAGGACATAATAGTGTAAGAGTAGCATAGAAATGCTTATGCTGCTCATTAACCCACAGAGATTTTGAGTTCTGGCTTCCCATCTGTAGTTTGAAATGGTGAATCCTGGTGAGTCTGAAAGTAAACCATTGCAAGCCTTCCCCAGAATATTAATAATCACCTTCATTTCTTGCCCATTTTAAGGACATTTCCTGCCTGCCCTTTTCCAGTCCATCAGAAACACAAATTCTCAAGCTAAAAAGCAATCTGTTACTTAAAATACAGGTTCTGGGCCTCCACCCCCCTATTCTGATCTAGTAGGTAGGAGCTAAGGATAGTAGTGAGAACAGAAACTGCACTTTTAGCAAGCACCCCTGTTGTTTTTAAAGTTTTCATCCTGCCTGAACATGTTGAAAATGAAAAAGTCATCTAAACTTTGACAATATTTGCAAAATACCTTAAAAAGAGTATCATTATATAAGATTTCAAATGCAACACTTAATAAATTGAAACACAAAATGTTTTCAAAATCATTAAAAACATACTGGTTTAATAGCATTAAGTACCAGGCGTGCAAAGAATTGATCTATTTAGGAAATTTAGTTGATTATCGCAGATACACTTTGCCTTTGTCTAGGACACTATTTCCACAGGAAAGATTGCCCATCAGTGTAGCTATCTCATGTTTGTCCTTATTTATCAAGTGCCAAACCTTAATAAACATCATACATAATTAAATTTAAATCTGGTCCACGCAATAAAGAACTTGACAATCTAATAAGCAAGACAAAGAGTATAGTTTCCCAAATATGAAGAATAGAGGAGATAATCTCCTTATAAATATATACGCAGATTTTATTTATGGGCTTTTTTAGTTGGACAGTAAAAGGAGTAAGTAGAATGTGAACTATTTCCACCCCTAATTTTTTAGTGTAAGACTAGGGATTTTTTAAAAAAAAATTAAATGCGATTGATTGATTGGTTGGTTGCATGATAGCGGATTAATTTCCTAAATGGATATGAGCTTGCCTTCATGAAAAGCAAGGATGCAACATGAGAAATAAAGGAAGGAGGATCACAAAACTCTCTGATAATGAAAAGCCACAAAGTCTAAATAAAACATTCTTTTTAGGCTTCCTAGCAGCCAAGCAAAGACGGAAAATGCACACATTTATTTAACTGTCATTTTTTAGTAGCAGAAATACAAATCAGGACATCAGGAGAGATTAACATTATCCTGAAGAGAAATTTTCAGGGGGCTTCAGGAAGAAAAATGTTCTAGGAGATCCCCTGCTCCTATCTTCATTCACTCATAAACTGGATACCTGGGAACTTTTTCTAATTTTATAAGCCGGCTCCTTAAAAATTCCAAAGTTCACAGAAGTAGGTCATGCCAGAACCCCCTGGATTAACATTAACTATTTAGAAAACTTCAGGTCTCCCTCCCTTCCAAGGACTCCATTGGTGACTTACCAGAATGGAATCAGAGTGGTCATGTGTGGTTTGAAAAAGCTCACCAGTGATTCTGACATGGTCCTCCTACCTCCTTGAGGACCCCCAATCTAGGCTTCACCATCTGGAGCTTAAAGTGCCTAGCACACAACATATTCTCCATAATTATTTGGTGCATAAATTGATAAATAAATGAATGAACAAATAATCAAATTGAAAAGGGATATAGACCGTCCCAGAAGAAAGTATTCCTATTCATTCATGTTTGGTTATTCAGAAATAAATACATCCCAACAGATTTACTATTGTGGAATGGTTGCAAGAAAGCTCAGTGATCCTTCAAGTGTAATTCAGAGCCAACCCAGAAATGCCCTCCACAGCTTTCCTGTTAAGAAATATTTCAATCTCTTTTGGAGAGGTACCTTCTGCTCCCAAAGAAATTATCCCCTTAATGGATAGTTCTGAATGTTAGGCAAGTCTACATAATTTTATTCAGCCTATTTCGTTCTATAAGGCCACCTGGAATAATTCTAGGGCCCCTTTTCCTTGCCATCTTGTCAGATTTCCAAAGTCAGGATGTGTAATCTCCTCTGTTCCTTGGAACTTTCCTCACGTGACCCAGCTTCAAGCCTTCCATTCCTTCTGGTTGCTCAGCCATTGGTCAATGTCCCTGAAAATCCTGCTTGGCTTGTGCTCAGATTGAGATGAGTACATAATCTCTAAATACACAATACCTTTTGGCAAGAGGTAATGGAAAATCCCAAGCAGCAAGGGGCATGCCAGGCTGTGATCCGAATGTGGCTCAGACAAACCCTAAAGAGGATAATCTATAGGCTCCTATTAATCCATTGGGTCTCAGTCCTCACGGGAGCTGAGCTCCCCACCTTTTGATAGTAACACCAGAAACCATCTCACCAAACAGAAAAAGATGAAGAACATCGGGCACTTGCCTTGTTTCTTTCTAAACTGACTTTCCACAGCTGTGTGCTTCTGTGGTTCTGTAAACTGGGTTTTCAGCCTTGTTAGGGGAGAGAGAATTCTAGACATGGCTCACAAATATCCTCATTAATTAATTCCAATAGTTAGAGGACATTCTCTGTCATACAATGTGCCTCTCGATGCTAGAAAAACAGTTGAAAAAGCTCCATCCCTGCCACTACGGAGGATCTGGGAAATTTGAGGAGAAAGATATATGACTATATGCTACAATTCAAAGAGGTGCCTGCTATCACTAAGAAAGGAGGCATATTGGAGGAAAGAAAAATACAGTTAATTGTGCCTGTGGGACTAAGGAAGACTTGAAAGATAACTGGCATTTATTGAGAACTTGTCATGCCCTTGGCACTTGTGCTAAATGCTTTACTTGTTTATATTATATGCTACTGATAGCAATTTTATCAGGAATGTATTATCAAACCCATTTTATACGTAAGGGAACTGAGGCTCACCCCTCATTCATTCAACAAATAAATCTTGAGTGCATTATATGTGTTAGGCCCTGTTTTAGGCATTCAAGATATTTCAGTGTCCTCTAGAAGCCTGTATTATAGGGAATGATACTGTCTCTTGTTGCATGGTTACTAACATGTTAAAAATAAGGTGCAATTTCAGATTATCAACACACTGTAGAGAAAAATGAGATATGGTAAGGAGATAAAGAGAATCTGATTTGAGTATCAGGGTGGCTGTTTTTTTTTTAAGATTTTATTTATTTATTTGACAGAGAGAGACACAGCGAGAGAGGGAATACAAGCAGTGGGAGTGGGAGAGGGAGAAGCAGGCTTCCCACCAAGCAGGGAGCCCGATGCGGGGCTTGATCCCAGGACCTGGAATCATGACCTGAGCCGAAGGCAGACGCTTAACGACTGAGCCACCCAGGCGCCCCAGGGTGGCTGTTTTCAATAGAATTGTTAAGGAAAACTCCAATAAGGAAGTGCTATTTGAACAGAGACCTGAATGAAATGAGTGGCTATGCAAAGACGTGGGGAAATCCTGTTCCAGATCTAGGGAGCAGCAAAGGCTTAGCTGGATTCAAATCCAGGTCTGTTAGATCTCAAATTTCTCCACCATTAGGCTCTATCATCAGATTTGACTCTCAAAGGCTGAGTGGGCCTTTATAAATTGAAGAATGTGGGAAGGGCATTCCAAGCAGAGAGAGAGAAAAAGAGAGAGAAGACCAAGTTCGGGATTTTGAGAAGTTCTGACACTTCGACAAAAACAGGTTATTTCCACAGATTCCAGAAAGGATCCTGAGCACCAAAGTGGCTTGAGTTATGGTCTCTTCCCAATGTGAAGTTTGGGGACACATGACATTCCTAACCCAATAGCACATGCTGTTTGACCTTTCTGTCTTCCAGCATCTCTGCACCTCAGTGTTTTCACACATGGAGTCAGAAGACCCTAGTTGGAGTCCTCTTGGACCCGTGCAAGCAATAATTGTACTTGGAAAGGCATGGCTTGGAAGTCAGACAAACTTGGGCTCAGCTATGTCACGCCTTAGATCAAGAACCCATCATGCAAATTGCATCACTGATGCTCACCGAGCGTGAAGTGGAGGCATGGAGACCAGGGTGTGAAGCCTGGATCTGCTTCTTTCCAGCTCTGAGACTCTGGGATAATTGCTGACTTTATCTGAACTTTAGTGTTCTTTATAATAAAGAGGATAATATGAAATCTCATAAGGGTATGGTGATTAGAGGAGATAATACATGTAAAAGGCTTAGTGCAGTTCCTGGCAGTCACCTCTGCTTAAAGGTTGTATTGTCACAATTAATACTAGATATACATACTTTCGGCAAAACACCCAAATGAATAGTTTTTCCCCTTTGGCAAAATGGGGATATTGTCCCTTTCCTTTGGACCACTGTGACAATCAAATGAGAAAATCTTGTGTGAGAACTCTGTAAATTGTAAAATGCTGCACAAACACAAGAGCTTCTTATTAGAACATACATAGTGTGAATTTATAAAGGGTTAGTGTGAAGAACATATATTCTCTTCCAGTTCATTGGCTCATTCTTTCATGTATTTATTTTCATATACTAAAGGCCTGTCCTAGGTGCTGAAGAGACCAAGGTAAGATGGACTTGATCTCTACCATTAAGAGCAATCTAGAATGTCTGAGAATTCTAGGAACATCCTCACATCTGTGTTTTTAGCTGTTCTTAAAATATAATTGAATTATTTAAAAAATAACTCAAAATGCCTTACTAACTTCATTTTGATTCTTGAGTTACATTGTACCTAAGATATTTTTCAACTAGAAAAACAACTTTGCCCATCATGCACTTTTATTTTAAAAATATGTTAATGTTTTATGACTTGCACGTTAATTTTCGATTAAAGGCACAAAGTGCCTAGAGGGTAGAGCAGTGACTTTTGCTTAGTTTGGCTTATACTCACCAATGAGGTTTTAGATGTGGTACTAATAAGTGATCATTCTCCTACAGAAGATTAGTGTGCGGGCCCAATGTCATTGAGGTAGAAATCCAGCCCATATGGAAGCTGCTTGTTAAACAGGTAACTAACTGTTTTCATCTATTTGTGAAAAACATTTTTTTTTTTTTTGGTCCTTTACTTTTTACTTCCTGGTACTCAGGGGAATTTTAGGCAACATATGGATAATTTGATCTGAACAAAATCTGTGTTTCATATAACTTCCTTTTGTTATTCCTTGTTGTCATTAGTCTATGCTTTTCCTGTCCATGGAGGCTTTCTTTTCTTCTTTTTTTTTTTTTATATTTCTTTTTTAGACATATATTTCTTTATATTTTTTATTATTATGTTCAATTAACCAGCATATAGTACATCATTAGTTTTTTTAAAATTTTTTATTGTTATGTTAATCACCATACATTACATCATTAGCTTTTGATGTAGTGTTCCATGATTCATTGTTTGTGCATAATACCCATTGCTCTGCGCAGAACGTGTCCTCTTTAATACCCATCACCAGGCTAACCCATTCCCCCACCACCCTTCCCTCTAGAACCCTCAGTTTGTTTTTCAGAGTCCATTGTCTCTCATGGTTGGTCTCCCCCTCCGATTTCCCCCCTTCATTCTTCCCCTTCTCCTATCTTCTTTTTTTCTTAACATATATTGAATCACAGATCTGTACCTCTGAATCATCATTAGTTTTTGATGTAGTGGTCAATAAATATATATATTTTTATTCCAGAATTTTTTAAAAGATTTATTTATTTATTTACATGAGAGAGAGAGAGAGAAAACACAATTGGGAGGAGGGGCAGAGGGAGAGAGAGAATCCCAAGCAGACTCCCCCTGAGCATGGAGCCCATTGTGGGGCTCAATCTCATGACCCTGAGGTAATTACCTGAGCCAAAATCAAGAGTCAGACACTTAACCAATGGAGCCACCCAGGCGCCCCTATTCCAGCATTTCTAACTGGTCCTTTTCAAACAACCACTTGTTTTAAAGTAAAATCCACTTAAAAAAATCCAATCCCAGTATGGGAGACAGATTTCTGTTTCATATTTTTCCATTTGTTTTGTTTTCTTAAGTTTTCGATGGTGGTTGTAATGGCGGTGGTAGTGGGGGTAATGTTATTACTTCTTTTTTTTTCCCAGATAGTGTGAACTTTTTATTTTATTATGTTATGTCAATCGCCATACATTACATCATTACTTTTTGAAGTAGTGTCCCATGATTCATTGTTTGCATATAACACCCAGTGTTCCATTCAATACATGGCCTCTTTCATACCCATCACCAGGCAAATCTATCCCCCCACCCCCCTCCCCTCTAGAATCCTCAGTTTGTTTCTGAGTCCATAGTCTCTCATGGTTTGTCTCCCCCTCCAATTTCCCTGCCTTCATTTTTCCCTTCCTACTATCTTCTTCTTTTTTTTAATGTATTTTTTTTAAGATTTTTTTATTTATTTGACAGAGAGAGACACAGCAAGAGAGGGAACACAAGCAGGGGGAGTGGGAGAGGGAGAAGCAGGCTTCCAGCTGAGCAGGGAGCCTGATGTGGGACTCCATCCCAGGACCCTGGGATCATGACCTGAGCCGAAGGTGGACGCTTAACAACTGAGCCACCCAGGCGCCCTAAATGTATTTTTTTTTAAGATTTTATTTATTCATTTGAGACACAGAGATACAGAGAGAGAGCAGAGAACATGAGCAGAGGGAGAAGGAGAAGCAGGCTACACGCTGAGCCAGGACCCCGATGTGGGGCTCGATCCCAGGACCCTGAGATCATGACCTGAGCTGAAGGAAGACACTTAACCATTTGAGCTGCCCAGGCGCCCCCCCCCCTTTTTTAAACATATAATGTATTGGGCGCCTGGGTGGCTCAGTTGGTTAAGCGACTGCCTTTGGCTCAGGTCATGATCCTGGAGTCCCAGGATCGAGTCCCACACCGGGCTCCCTGCTCAGCAGGGAGTCTGCTTCTTCCTCTGACCCTCTTCCCTCTCGTGCTCTCTATCTCTCATTCTCTCTTTCTCTCAAATAAATAAATAAAATCTTTAAAAAAACCCATATAATGTATCATTTGTTTCAGAGGTACAGGTCTGTGATTCAACAGTCTTACACAATTACTTCTATGATTTTTTGACTATTTTCAATGTATTAGTTTGGTCTTGCTCATGTTACTCTATTATATCAATTTTCTTGAGAATGACTTTTTTCTTTGTTAGTGGGTTTATTTATTTTTTTGGAATATTTTCTTTGTGTTCCTTGAAGTTATTATTATTAGTGGTGGCGGTGGTGAGCTCCCCTTAAGTGGAACTTCTCCTGCCTCCATTTCTCTCTTTCTCTCTGTATTCACTCACCCTCCTAGATGGCTCTGAGTTTGCCTGCCTCTTAGTGGTCCCATAGCTTCCAGTTCAGAACCAGGTCCTCTCCTGGGGGTTGGGGCTCTGTTTCCCGGGATCTAGTAGACATAGGCCCTGAGCTAGTTGGGGTTTGGCCAAGTTCACAGTTGCACCATGAACTCTGTTGTTTCCCACTCCATGCTCTGCTAGGGAACAGTTGCTGGTTGTGACTTTTCTTGGCCTCTGCTCTGGGGCAGGAGGCAAGTCTGGTTTGGTTCCCTGCCAACTGTGGGGCACTGTTGGTCTTATTTCCCATAGAACTGAGCTCCTAGCCATCACTCTCCAGTACTTACGTGGAACCCAGTGGGCTGATCATGCTAGCCTCCTCTCCATGCTGCGTGTTTCTAATCTATTTCTAATTCACAATGATGGACATTTTGTTTAGCATGGTCATGTTTTTCAAAATAATGTTTTGTTAGACTTTTTTTAGAGCAATCTAAGGTTCACAGAAAAGTTGATTGGAAGGTACTGAGATTTTCCCATTTACCCCATGCCTCCACATATGCACAATCTCCTCCACTATCAAAAAGCAGGCTGCTTTTTAAACTTCTTATTCATTTTCAAACTGCCAAACTTTCTCCTAGGTGTCAGTTTGGTCTATATTGAAAGGAGAAGTAGTATTTTCTCCACCTACTTACTAAGTCTTTAGTAGGAAAAAAGCAGATAAAACTATTTCATATTTGGTTTCAAAAGAATATTGAATAAGGGAACTAAATTATGATGGTGTTGTTTCTTATACAAGAAGTATTTAACCAATTTTCTACTGAGTTTATGTAAACTCAAAATCATATTATCATTAGTGCATAATCTACAATTAGAGCATTTTATACCAAGCAGACAGAAGAGCTATAATTTGTAAGGAAAGCATGTTGCAATGGAAATAGTAAACATTAAGGAACTAAAGCTTTGTTAATGTACAAAATATATCCGAGGGTTTAAGGAACTCATAAGATACAGCCTATTAACTTATTAACCAGATGTCAGTTCATTTTGGGGACTAAAGGAGAAGTTTAACATGTTAGAGAATTATAGAAAGTAGAGGTAAAAAGCGTGGCACTGGTTTTAGATAATATTTCATCTAATTCATAATCATCATAAAGAGCACTTCATCTAGAAAATAATCCTTGTTTTGCTCAGATGGGCTCTTTAATTCACACTATGTGTATACAAATATGACTCTAGCTCCTCAGGTTTGCTCTCTCTGCTATCATTATTAATAGTGGGGTCAGCAGGACCAAAATGGGGACAATCGAGGGATTAAAAAAAGTTAAAGGTCTTATAAAGAGACCAAAACCTATGTGCATGAATGGCCAGCTTTTGGCTGGGGATACATTCCACCCATGGATTTCACCACAACTTTGGGTACAATGATCTCTCCCTGTTCAAGGGCAGGCCTGTGCTGACTTGACTGACTCTCAAAGCATCTTGCTAAGACCCATGACATGGAGAGTCTGTTATTTTTAAATGACCTGGATACAAGTTCAGTCTTGCATTTTCCTCACACAACTTGACTCCATCTGCAGCATGTGATCACATGAAGAATGCAATAAAAATGGTCAAAGTTGAAGTTTGTTTTAAGAAGAGACTAAATCGATTGGACTCTTGGGGGGTGGAGCAAGATGGTGGAGGAGTAGGAGACCTGGATTTCGTCTGGTTCCAGGAATTCAGCTGGATAGGGATCAAACCATTCTGAACACCTACGAACTCAACAGGAGATGGAAGAAAAGAATAGCAACAACTCTCTGAACAGAAAAGCGACCACTTTCTGGAAGGTAGGATGTGCAGAGAAGTGAATCCGAGGCGATATTCGGGAGGATAGGCTGCAGGGGAGGGGGCCTCTGTCTGCTGCTTCTGGGAAGTGATAGAGCCGCGGAGCACAAAATCGGAACTTTCAGAAGTCGGCTCCGCTGAGGGACGTCGCTCCAGTGGCTAAGTGGTGGGTGGAACCCTTGCGGGACAGTGTGACCTCAGGACCCTCAGGGTCACAGAAAGACCAGGGGTGCCTGAGGGCGGCAGAGCTCCCGGGTATCGGAGCGGGGAAGCCGGCTGCAGAGACGGAGCCAAGGTGTGGGTTCTCAGCTCGGGGTTGCCATAAACTGTGGTCCGTGACAGTCGGGCCACTGTTCCTCCAGCAGGGAACCAACAAGTGGCAGATCCAGGGAGACTCCCCTTCCTCCCCTGGGAGGAGCAGCGCGGGAGCGCACCGCTGGGATCTGCTGACTTTGGAGACTCCACATGGGGTCGTGCACCAGAGATAGAAACTCTCGGTCATAGGCCGGGTGAGCACGGAGTGCGGCCAGAGACTGGGGAGACGGGAGTGACTGACTGTTTTCCTCTGGGGGCGCACTGAGGAGTGAGGCCTGAATTCTCGGCTCCTCCAGGGTGGAGATTGGGAGGCCACCATTTTCACTCTCATCCTCCAAAGCTGTACGGAAAGCTTGCAGGGAACAAAAGCTCCTGAGAGCAAACCCGAGCAGATTGCTTAGCCTGCACTGACAAGGGCAGGGCAATTCCGCCTCCAGCAAAGGCATCTAGGAACCACGGCAACAGGCCCCTCCCCCAGAAGATCAGCACAAACAGCCAGCCAAGACCAAGTTTACCAATCAATGAGAACGGCAGAACTCCAGCGCTAGGGGCATACTGCACATAGAATTCATGGCTTTTTTACCATGATTCTTTAGTCTTT